AACATTTCAAAACCTCTTACCAATGAAGTTGGCCTGCAAATTGATATTTCTAGGTCTCTATCTTGGTTACTTATGTGGCTCTGTTACTGTAGGATCTGAGAACATCCCCACCTTTTAATGCATTTGTCATCACATCACCCCTGGGAGGTACAAATAGGGAATTGGGGGATAGAGAATAAGGGCCAGGTTGTCAAAGGTCTTTAGAGCACAGAATTAAATCTAGGTCTCCTAAATCCCAGGCTAACTCCCTAAATGCTGGACTAGGACTTGTAACATCCTTTGCGTGAATGGTTTGACCCTTCTGGATTTCTGTTGTGTGTGAACCCAATACCACTGTCTAATTATGCCCACTACACATCCCTTCCATGTTGCAGGACAGAGAGCCACTTCATTGGCCTCTGGCACAGCCATTTAGGGTGCCTACTCATTTCCATTAGTTCTAACTAGTGCATCAAAAATGCTGCTCTTCTTCTTTCTTTCTATCCATCCATTGATCCATCCAATAAGGCAGTGCATCATCATAATAACTGAGTGCTATTTATGGAAAATTGATAGCAATAGAAAAGGCCTTAATGGACTTTGTGGAATCCCTGTCATTTTTTACTGTTTGGGGGTAAAACTCTGGAGTAGGGCTATTGTTTGTTTTTAATTGTATTAATTTATTGTTTGTTGCAGTTTTTTACAGTCAGTTTGTTTCAGAAGTTGATTGGTTAGTTGATTATGTTGTCTGTTTTTGTTTGTTTCAGCTTTTATGGGTGGAACAAAATATATTTACTTCAAAAGTATACAAAAACTTGACTGAGGAGGTGTGATGTGGCCTATTTTAAAAACTTTATTATAGTCATCAGTTTTCTTCTCTTTCTCTCTCAATTTTTCATATATCTAAAATGATTATACTACTTTATAAATTCAGGTTTTTTTTCTTTTTGAATGAAAGCTGTTTTACTCATCAGCCAAATTCAGAAATCTAGGATATTTTTCCATGCTCATAAAAAATAATTTGGTTTCATATAATTCCTTTCATATTCAAGATCGTATCCCAAACCGTTTCACCAAATAAAGAGAGAGATATCCTTTCTGTCATGGTCACCTACCCTGTGCAGTGCAGTGACCAAATACAATAGCTATTATGCATTCAACAATAGCTCACAAAGCCATGAGCATATAAATTTCTTCTATTAAGAGAGGAAATATTAAGAAATATTCTCTGAAGAGAGGACAATAGAGATTGTCCTCTATTTTCTTTCAATGATGCTATAAAATGTTTAACTCTATCCTGGACAGCCACCAGAAAATTGGGAAAAGGACCTAAGATTAGCACCTCATATAAAGAGTCACACCTCTAACAGTACAGTATCTCCATACTAATTTACTGCAGCATTAGCACATGAACCCAAGTCTCAACCTGGATGAAATTCCATTACCACCTTAAAGATGATCCTGTCAGTAAACATAATTGTGTTCATCAGCTAGGAATAAAATATCTTTTTTATGAAACTTTAATTTAAAAGAAATTAATTGGAAAGTTGATAGATAATTAACTCTGTCACTTTTTATTTGAAGGTGGCTAGGATTCTGAATTGATTTGTTATTTTAAATTGATTAGAATGGGTGTTTGTTTTTCCTGACACCTACATTGATTTGTGGTTTATGCAAGCGAGGTGAAGTGGTATTTTGACTAGCAACATTAAATTCCAAAGGAGCAGAAAGAAAATGTCAAAGCAAAAAAGGCATTTTCAAGGAGAGTCTTACTAGTGTTAGACAAACAAATATTGACAAAGTTTTCCAGAGTAATATTAAATATTTCTCTTGATTATAAAAGTTTTGCTATACCAAATATAGTTTACCTTAAGACTGGTATTGTTCCCTTTTACAAATTACAACATTGTGGGGAGGAAATGGGATTAGCAGTTTGCCAGGGACTTTGGGTTCCATTCTCTACTCTGCTAGTAATTCACTGTATGACCTTAGGCAAGTCACTTAATTCTGTTGACCACTAGGAAGGGCTCTGTAAACAATAGCTGTCTGTAAACTATATATTCCAGCATATTATGCATTGCTTTAAAGTAACTAGTAATTGTTTATTCAGTGGGTACTATATGACTTTCAAAGCATTTATAATGGTTGATTTTAACAGTTTAGGCACCAGTCTTGCAAGCTGCTCCACGCAGACTGAGCTCAATTAAAATCTTATATTTTAAATTATTAATTATAAAAGTGCAGGGAGAAAGGAAGAGCATTTGATGAATATTCTGTATATGAAATTCTTACTTTCTGGTGAGGTATTATTCTTTATAATCAGCTACCTTCCAAATTGATGTTCTTTTCTGATACCATGTGTTGTTTATTTTGTTTTTCTGTCTGCTTAGGACTGGTCCATCACATTTGTAATCTCTTAATAGAAACTGCAGCTCTGTATTTAGAAGTGGATGATAAAAGCAACATCAAGACAGCTAATGGGCTGTTGCTGTCCTTGCTTGACGTTTTGCATTGCATGCTGATATATACAGCGAACGTCATCCGCCTGACTTTACAGGTATGGAATCTATTTTCTGGTAGAGTGAGGCCATTGTAAAAAAATTTAGTCTCTTTCCTATTTCCTCAGTACTGAATTTCCTACTAAAAAAATGAATAAAATTAGTTTGCTGTGTTTTTGTAGACATTTTGGTCCCAGGATATGAGAGTCACAAGGTAAGTGAGGTAATATCTTTTATTGGACTAACTTCTGCTGGCGTAAGGGACAAGATTTCAAGATTCACAGAGCTCTTCTTCAGGTACGGAGAAGAAAACTAGTGTTTAAGTTAAATACAAGATGGGCAGATTGTTAAGCACAAGAGGTTCACACATGTTGTAAGAGATCACCTCTCCAATCGTAGGACAATGGAGGAATAGTAAGCAGCAGTTATATTACATATTAAGAACGGCCATGCTGGGTCAGATCAATGATCCATCTAGCCCAGTACCTTGTCTCTGACAGTGGCCAATGCCAGATGCTTCACAGGGAATGAATAGAAAAGGATAAATTTGAGTGATCCGCTTTCTATCATCCAGTCCCAGCTTCTGGCAATTGGAGGCTTAGGGATACCCTGAGCATGGGGTTGCATCCCTGATCATCTTGACGAATAGTCGTTGTTGGAGCTATCCTCCATGAGTGTATCTAATTCTTTTTTAAACCACTTATATTTTTGGCCTTCACAATATCCCCTGGCAATGAGTTCCACAGGTTGACTGTGCATTGTGTGAAGAAATACTTTCTTTTGTTTGTTTTAAACCTGCGATCTATTCATTTCATTGGGTGACACCTCGTTCCTGTGTTACGTGAAGAGATAAATAACACTTCACTGTTCACTTTCTCCACACCATTCATGATTTTAGAGACTTCTATCATATCCCCCCTTATAGTTGTTTCTTTTCCAAGTTGAATGGTCCCAGTCTTTTTAATCTCTCCTTGTATTGAAGCTTTTCTGTGCCCATAATCATTTTTGTTACCCTTCTCTTTACCTTTTCCAGTTCTAATATATATATATATATATATATTTGAGATGGGGCAACCAGAACTGCATGCAGTATTCAAGGTATGGGTGTATCATGGATTTATATAATGGCATAGGATATTTTCTGTTTTATTATCTATCCATTTCCTAATGGTTCCTAACGTTGTTAGCTTTTTTAACCTCTGCTACACATTGAGTGGATGTTTTCAGAGAACTATCCACAATGACTCCAAGATCTCTTTCCTGAGTGGTAGTAGCAAATTTAGACCTCATTTTGTATGTATAGTTGGGATTATTTTTTCCAATTTGCATTACTTTGCATTTATCAACACTGAATTTCATCTGCCATTTTGTTACCCACTCAGCCAGTTTAGTGAGATCCATTTCTAACTCTTCACAGTCAGCTTTGGATTTAACAATCTTGAATAATTTGTATAAAAAGTTGTTGTAATGGGCCATTAAACCAGTGTCTCTGTTAAGTCTGTAGTTTTTAGGGTCCCACATAGTTAGGAAATTTATTTCTCAGGTTCATCTTTTGAAGGCATTGTGCAAGTTTCCTTTGAGGACAAGGACTGAAAGGTCAGATATGGAATGATCATTTTTGATAAAAGTGTTCGCCCACAGGTGATGGGGTGTTTTTGTCTTTTATTATTTGTCTATGTGAGTTCATTCGAGAGTGTAGTGATTGTCTGGTTTCACCCACATAGTTGTTATTGGGGCATGTGATGCACTGGATGAGGTACACACACATAATAGGCATTTGTAGGACCCATGCTAAAGCAGCAGCAGCGCCTGCCAAAACAGATGCAAAACCTGCAGACATATCTCCACTGCTACAATGATCTATCCCTCTACAACATACCTTTCAAGATCCATGGGTCCTACACATGTCTCATCCAGTGCATCAGATGTCCCAACAACTGTGTTGGTGAAACAGAAGTTGGTCCAATAAATTATATTACTTTACCCACCTTGTCTCTCTCAATAAAATTAGAACAGATTGTCGGGGGATGGGGGGGGGTAGAATCGAGTGTTTTCTGTTGGATATGTCTTTTTTTGGTTATATTTTATTCCTTTGGATTACTAGAGAAACAGTTGTGATGTTAGTAGGCATTTTATGTAAACTCTTGTGAAAACAAAGCATTTTTCTCCCATGATATAGAACAAATAATAAGGACACAGCACTGATCCTGTGTTGGAGGATAGTAGGTTGGAACTGCAAGCTTTTTAATAAGCCAATTGTTTATTCAGCAGTTCAGCATAGTTTGAAGTACATTGTATAATTTTGTACATGGTTTTAAAAAAAGTTTCAAGAGCATCTCACGCCCACCCCACGCCCAAAATATATTTCTCTGTTGAAATGTACATCAACCATTATTTATTATTTACCTTTCTGGTTTTGTGCTACAAGACAAACCTCCCAGTGGGTGCTATCAGACTCTCAATACAATACCCTAGCTCAAAAGAAGTTTTCAAAACAGTAATATGATCCCCTTAAGCAGATGATTTGATTCTGATCAGGATTCTACAGGCAAAAAGTGCCAACAGACACTTACTCTCATTTAACAGAAAACTTCTGAAACCAATATGTTTTCCTTTTTGTATTTGTATTCAGAGCCAAAACAATTAATTTATAAGTGGATTTTTTGTTCCCATCTTTTAATTACATGTTTATTTGCCAACCTGTTCCCAGGTTGATCAGATCCCAATATGCAAATCAGTAATTCACAACCACTAATATTAAATCACTCATTTAGTGTCTGATCTAATGCTGACTGAAGTCAATGGGAAGACCTACATTCACTTCAATGGGCTTTGGATCAAGTCCTTGTACGTATCGTAGGGCTACCTCCTTAATAAGTATGCTCCTTCATATGGTGTTAGCTAGTTGAAGTCAGTGCCACACAATATGCTAACAACACAGATCCTTGTTGATTTTTTTGCTTTGGTGTACTCCATAAATAGCTTAATTTGACATTTTCTCATTGATGTTTCAAAACATTTCCTCCTTAGTGCATTTGGGATATTAAAATATATGATGTCATGTAAGTCAATAGTGGCTCACTACTGAGGTGTTGATATGTGCACTTTACAGAAAGTTACCCATATTTGAAATGGGTGGATGACCATACAATGTCTCTGCTTGTGCAGGTGCACTGACAAAGATATTTACCTTCTCCTGCAGCCCAGATCCCTTTTTGCTGTGACTAAATACAAACTTAATAGCAAAAAGGGCAGTGTCAGAGATCCCCTCTGCTCCATCTAGAAGACTTACCCTTCTTGTATTTCATTTTTAAAAGGATTATTCAAAGGGATTGCATTTTGTGCTTTTAAAAGATGTTTAAAACCTCTGTTTCTTTTACCCAAACTCAGTCCTATCATTTCCTTGTAATAAGATGATCTGATTAATGCCCTCAATTAGTTGACAGAAAGTGACTTCTGTATCTAGACTAATTGCACTGGCACATCTTGTTCTCCTGTCTTGACTAGTATACTTTTTTTCCCCCTATCTTGAGGAGGATAGAGAATCTTACTGTACTGAGTGTTCTGAGAAGGACGGAAGAAAGCCAAAAGAAGGCAGGCCAATTGTTTTGTGTTTCGTACAATTAAAAAAGTCCTGCTGTATTTTAAAAGAATTTAATGGGTGTGAAGTGAGTGCTAAAAATCTGCCTTTCTGTTCATGCAAATTTACATAATCAGTTATACTATCAACCAGGCATATCCTGCGTGCTTCGTTTTTGAAATATTTGGCAGAAAGATCATCAAGATTTTCTGATAGCTTTGTCTTTCTTGAGTTTCTATGTTACTGTAATCTAGTGCATCTGGTAAAAGTAATAATACTTTGCACTTCTGTGATGGCGTCCATCCAAGGATCTCAAAGCACATTACAAATACTGCCTACTAATTCCTGTGGAAAACCTTTTGATTGTACTTTTTGTCGTACAAAAGCAGGGGATTTCATGTAAATCAGAGCAAAATCCTTTTCTCATGTAAATGGCCAGAGCAAAGTGTTTCTTCGTTGTATTTTTCCTAAGGGATCAGATATTTTTGAAGTGTTCTTAAAGAATAAGTGTTCCCTGACTGAGCACAATTTGAATAGTAAGTATATTATTAGGACTCCATATAAGCATCTAGGAGAAGAGAGGATTTGTTACATAGTCTGGTAAAATAAAGAGAAATGCAACTGAAATCTATATACTTAGGTCCAAATTCTGCCCTCATTTACATGTGTCAACCATTATTGACTGAGTCTAAAGCTTAAATTTTTAAGATTGGTAGCCAATGACTAGTTGGCAGTCTGGAGAACTTATTTTGGGTACCAGAAATCTGATTTTCTTGATTTTCTCCAATGCTTCTACAGAAAAATCTGCCTCTGTATTTTAAAGGGCCAAGCTTCTATGTTTAGTGCTGTCAGAGGACTATTGACCATTTCCCTGTGGAATCTTATTCATCAGGCATTTTCTAAAAGTAGTAAAGCACCTGAAGTTCAAATTCCACTACATCATTCCACTTTGGAAATTCAAGTCAGGAGGGTGGGAGTGGAAGTCTTAACTTTTGAATCATCTTGATTTTCTTGTTTTCAATTGTGCTTAAAATCATCTCTTATAAAATAGAGGGTGATCTTTGGAGACTTACAGTGAACATTAAAATAAAGAAGTCATATATTTGTGTAGAGAGAGAGAGAATATATATACAAAAAAACATAGATTGTAGATAGACATATTTTATTATGAGTTCCTGGAGATATATATTATACATACAGTAGGTATGTATCTTGCTGAAGAAATGTCACGTAGGTCAGCATATTAAATCAGTTTAGAGTGGATGTGACAGCATGAGTCCCTTTTGCTTTGTGCTTATTGTTACAGACACAATCAGACTATAACTTCTTATAGAGATCTCCGAATACTTAACTAGGAAAGGGAGTATAAGAACACCTCCTTCGAACTTCCATTCAAATTTGTACCGCCTAATGGACCTTATTTGTTTCTCAAAGCTGAGCACTCACCAAGACTTCTTTTTATTTTTCCTTGTCTCATTAAGGCACAAAAATCTGGCACAGGAGGGGACACCCAGGCTGCTGAAGACCTTCTGCTTATCAATAAACCCCTGACAGACCTAATTAGCCTGCTTATTCAGCTGGTAAGAACTTGCTTGTTTGTAAGTCTTTTGGAATGTTGCTAAAGTTGAAATTACTCCTCTGGTCTGGTAGCCAAATGCAAGTTTTTGACAATACCTTGTTTTAGTGTCCATACAAGGGGACTTTGAATTTCAAGTTCCTAAATTCAAAGAAACTGCCTCACAACACCTTGTTACTGTGGAGCATTTTGAAATATGAGCACATATTACCACCCACTCATAAATCAGGTGACAGTGAAACCACTTTCCTTGAATTTCAATTATTTTTAATTAAAATGTCACATTGATATTTTGTTATGGAATATACTTAGTTAGGAGGTACACATGGTATGACTGTATTAGTATCTGTGTTAGCAGTATACCTTGTTAGTACCCCTGCCCCTAAACCAAGTCATAATGATATATGTCAAAGCAGAGAGAGGACATTGGACACTGCATCTAGAATCTGTGAAACTGATGCTGACTTACTTCTTTGCAGCTGGACATGCCAGTTAGGCATGGTAAGGTTACATTACTTGCAATCCATGGAATCCAGGCCAGGTAATGCCTGAGAGTGGTTCATGAAGGGTAATACATCATGCACCATGTTCCAGAAATATGGAGTGGTATATGAAGTGACATGTATGTTGAAACTACTTGCATGAGGCATGGCCACAGCCATGGTGGCATCATTAAGATCACCCTGAAAACAGAGACTCTCAAGACTTGGGCTCTTAGCCTCCACATATGCAGATGTATAGTTCCTATCTTGTGGAACCAATCAGAAGCAAGAGGTTTGGGTTAGATTCTGTGACAGAACTTGCAGCACAGCAGGAGGAGGGTTGAGGAGGGTTTAAGCCATTTTTGTAATCTCCTTACCCTAGACTGCTCTAGAAGATGGAGAGGCCCCTGATGTAACCTAAGCAGCTCCAGAGCACTGTCTAAGTTATGGTAGCCTCTCTGGGGCTGTGTGCTATGACCCGCCCTCAGCACACCCACTATGCCAGAGCTTGTGAAGAGGTCTTCAGAGGACAATCCTACAACAGCACCTACCCCAGGGATATCCTCCTTTGGATAGATAAAGGGCTTTTAGGGTCCCTTTATGGTGCTCCAGCCCCTTTACCTGGCACAAAAGAGACTGGAGATGAGAGTAGGGTCTCACCCTGGTGCCAAGCCCTCCCTTTTCCAGGTGGGTTGTCTCCAGGCTTCCCAGTGAAAAAGGCAACCCATGTCCCACTGGAATTTGACTAAGATGAGCCCTGTCCTAGGGTCTGCAGTTTCTTCAGGACAGGATAAATATCGTTCTCTCAGCTAGCACTCATTGGGTTTAACTTCCGTCTATAGTGTTCACAGGGGCTCTATTGGAGGATTGTCCCCATTGTAACCACCCACGCCTAAATGCCAAATCCTAACTTAGACTTCCAGTTAAGTACCTGGTCTCTTCCTTTCTCCTTTTTCTTTGTTTTTCAAATCTGATTTCTATTTGGTGGTTGAACCACCAAAATTTGTAATAAAGAATGTAGGTAAAAGGTTCCAGTCTCAGCTAAACAAAACCTATATGTATTCAGACATGAATGCTGACCTTCTGATTTTATTCTACCAGTGGACTTTTATTCTGAGGAAGTAGTGCTGCTTTCTTTATAATTTTCTGTACTAGACTTGTCTATAGACATTACCTAGACGAGATTTACTTGTACCAGCAATTGATAAAAGCCTTTTCAAATCCCCACTCAAGCCCCCACAACAAAAAGCAGAGTGTGTTCAAATTTGGATTACATAATATTCTAACTTTCTTATATTTTGTTAAACAATTGAAAAATCTATGTATATGGTAAATTTTGAAATCTAAACAGATTCACAATATCCTTTTAAGCATAACTGGAGATAGTCAAATGTTTACTTTTTTGACTTTTAGACTTAAATTTCATTATCTCCCTAAAGAACAGAAAAATAGTAGCCATGCTTTACTCAGTCTATACCACCTGGAAGTCTATTATAACTTTCTAATTAAAGGGTAGAATAAGATGTATAGTTAGCATGTACTGATTATGTTACCACCCGCCTCCACATCTCATCAGAGCAGCCTCAATTACAGCTGTGCTTTACTTTGTTCCACTATTCTGAATATTCCGATGTATTGAAGATGGTTTAACATGTGGCTTGGTATTTGCTGTTTTAAATATATAAATCAAGAAGCATGACGAGGCGTATTTATTCTTTTGCTTTTGAGTCTTGAAAAAGATTTTTTAAAAGTGATCAATCTTCCCTTGTATCCTGTGTGAGAGGTGCAAGTTCTTCACATAAATACATAATTGCATTGGTTTATGTAAGTTATCTCACCTATTTTCTTTTCTTTTGAACTTTGCATCAATTGCCTATTAGTGAAGGTATCTGTATTGAACCCTTTGTTATAAAATTAAAAGCAATCTTTGTGCTGATATTGGCATACATTATCTCTGGAAAAGCAGCATTTAACACACAATCATGTCAGCCCAGGAGTGAGCCCACAGCCGCCCATGGAGACTACTTGTTCCAGGGATAATGATTAATCCTAATAGAGCAGTGTGAGTAGGCGATAAGGGGGTACAAGTGACATTGTAAACTATATCCTTTAACTGGAGGTTGGAGGGTGTAGACTGTGAACTCCACTGGTTCTGGGGCATGACCCAAGACTTCTGGCCATGTTTTTTCAAGTATGCGCCTTTGTGTATAGCCCAAGGACTGAATTGGTCCTTAATTCTATAGATTATTTTTATAGTTTCTACCCCTCTGTAGATAACATTTACTAGAAGTTAAGTAAAACATGATTGAATGTGGGCTTTTTATTACATACAACATTAGATGAGATAATAGTGCTGTGAATCATAGCTGTACATTTGTCAAATTTTGAGGAAAGTCATGGAGGAAGTCATGGTAACAAAGGGTCAGATCCTCATAGGTGCAAAGCATTTGGCTGCAGGGGAAGATGCAGCTCAGCATCCCTCTCAGTTTGGCCTAATTGTCACAACTCAGGGAAATCATGAAAAAATGTCTGAAAAGTTAATCATGGTTTGTAATTACCAAACAATCTTTGCAGAACCAGGCCCATTACATTTATTCTTTTTTATGTGGGAAATGGGTGAACATCGCATAATCTCTTGGGTACATAGCGACTATCTTATTCCCACTTACATATACCTTATGGTAGTCGGAAGCCTCTTAAAATACCACCCCACAGACATCATCTTGTTTCACCACTGCTTTTTCCTGTTTTCTCTCCTATTGGCCGATTGGTCTATTCCTTGGACATCTCCCTCTCTTGCAACCCCCCCCCTTGACTAGTTCTCTGAGTTCTTCAGTGTATTTGTTCATCCTGATACCCTGTTATCTGTAGCCTCTCATTTAATCCTATGGGTTGTTTTCTTAAGAACTTTAATAGTTATTTACTTTTTCTTCTCCCAAATACTACCTGCTTATCCATTTCACTGACTCATCAAACTTCCAACATTTCAAGAACAATAGACATGTTAAAAATATTAAAATTCTGAACTCCACATGTCTCATGACATCTGTGACAGTCATCCATTTAATCATAGTTAACTAAACCTCTAATTCAAAAGCAACCTGGAAAATACAATGCAAATGACTAAACCAGACAAAGTTTATAGGACTAAACACTGACAAAAATATACCCTCTGTGTATATATAATATTTAGCAGAATTTAGCATCTTGTTTTTTGATGAGTGTACATGTTGCTATGAGCCGTTGTATAGAGGTATGATAGCACCGCTGTATTTAAGGTTGAAATCGCCACTGCATTCTAAAGCCTGTTTTCAGTCATTTTTAATCTTTTCAGAAATGTTCCTTTTTGGTTGAATTTTCTCATCCTTGTCACAGTTTAAAGATGAATTTTTAAACTTTTTTTGTAAATTAGAATTGATTTTGAGTTTTACGAGCATGGGGAAAATGTGTTCTGCTTTCAAAGGTTGGGGGGTGGTTGTTTTTGTGATCATCTCGCATTCAGATTCAAACTTGGCAAGGACGTTGTCCTCAGTGAGGTGTGTGACCTGAAAGGAACAACATTGGATGCCATTTAGCAATTATATAATGCAACTGTACAGTGTTTTATTTTTCTTGAGGCAGTAAGTATGCATGGTTCCAGACAGATAGAGTACACAAAAGCAATTTATATTGTCTAAGATGAACCATGTCTCATAGACTCATAGACTCATAGACTTTAAGGTCAGAAGGGACCATTATGATCAT